CCCCCCCCCCCCCCCCGCCGCCCCGACACGCGGCGCCCTGCCAGGGACGGCCGCACGTGCACGCTCACATGCACACCGGAGGGCACAATGCTCCTCTGTATCTGAGGTCGTCCTCCATCTTTTAGGACACAAACTCAGACCTCATATCCCCCCAGCGCCCAGCATCTGGTTGCCGGGGAACCGGCTGCCCGGCAACCGGCTGACGGGCAGCAGGATGCTGGTGGGAATTGTTGGGCTTCTGTAATTAACTTCAGAGTAGGGTCTGACCTGATCTGTTTGGAAGGCGCTGTGGAACAACTGTTGTTGTGATGTGGCGCTATATAAATCGAATTGAATTGAATTGACTTGGTTGCCAGGCAGCCAGATGCTGACCTGGGGGGTCGACAGCCAGGAGACTAATGACAACTGAGGGGATTTTCTCAGAACTACATGAGAAAATGCACATGCAGGTTTGGTTTTGGTGCAGATTTACTAATTCCTGATGGTTCACTCAGTCATTTTCTGAGAAAAACATTTTTTTTTTTTGCAGAATCAGAAGAATGGAAGCAGAAACATGTCTGTCTTCGCTCTTATAAATCTCATCCCAACTCTGAAACGAGCACAGAGGCTTTTTGGAGGTTTGTAAACACGTCTGCTGCTGAGAGAAAATCAAAATGGATCAAAAGCGAGCAGAGAACGAACAGGCCTGCCACCTCCAGCCGACCGGCCCTCAAACGCCCCTCAGACGCTCTAATCAGGGACACCTGCGCCTTCCCCGGCCAATCAGAGGCCGGCGTCCGGGGCCGGCCGGCGTCTGGGCTCCTGATCAGCTTCTGAATGCGTCTTTGTTCGAGCGGCGGGACAAAGAGGAAACGTTCTGTGCTGCCAACCTCGAACCCAAAACAAAGAGGGGACAGCGGCGACCAATGGGAGGCCAAGTTTACCCCCCCCCCCCCCCCCGGGGCCCGGCCCCCCCCCCCGACCCACCTTGATGGGCCTTTCCAGCTCGGGCTTCTTGTAGCGCAGCCACATCATCCCGATGATCGCCATGGCGATGCAGAGCCAGTTGAAGAAGCTGAAGAAGTTGATGACGGAGAAGATGTCCTGGGAGAAGGCGTACAGCAGCGTCATCAAACACTGCGCAGAGAGGAGAGGGTTAGGGGCGGAGCCAGGGAGGCGGCGGTCCAACGGGCGGCGGCGGCGCTCACGGTGAAGATGAGCGAGGGCAGCGGCGTGAGCAGCGTGGGGTGGATCATGGACAGCAGGCTGGGCAGGTGCCCCTCCCGGGAGCCCACGAAGAACAGGCGGGAGGACGTGAACAGGGAGCCGTTCACGGAGCCGAAGCAGGACAGGCCCACGAACACGGGGATGATCCACGCCATGGGGCCCAGGTGCCGGTTCCCAAAGTCCTGCACGACACGCACAGTCTGATGACTCTCTGGGGCTCTGCTGCTGGTTTCAGACCCAAAGGTTTTGACTCTGAGCTGTTTCAGAGATCTGGAAAAGCTCCAGTTGGACGTTTTCTGTCCCAAACCTGAATGTCAGGCTCAACCCCAGTGACTCAGGTGGAGGATCATCATTACCATCCTTATTATTATATTAATGTAAATATTTAATGCATACTAATTATACTATTATTACATAAATGTATCATTAAATAATATATATATATATATATATATATATATATATATATATATATATATATATATATATTTTTAATATATATATATATTTTCAAAAAAACTGCCTTAAACCCTGATAATAAAATGGGTCCTGTGGGGGGTATTTTAGAACAGAATCAGCAGTCCTGCTGATTGTTTAGTTAACCAAAGTTAACCAAACCAACCAAAGCTTCTGAGGGCCTGATACCGAAGCTGCAGCCTGACGGAAACCCCTAAAAACGGCGCCCAGTGTGGGCCCTCACCACGGCGACGGCCTCAGAGCCAATCATCTGCTCCGGGGACAGCGTGGTGAAGTAGGCCAGGTTGGTGAGCACATACACGGTCGTCACGATGGGCAGGGAGATGATGATGGCTCGGGGGAGGTTTCTGGGGAGGAGGCACACTTTGGGTCACTCCTCTGAAAGGAATCAGCCATCTGAGCGTTTAGGAAACGGCCGGAAACTCACTTGAAAGGTTCGATCATCTCCTCTGTGACAAAATTCAAGTAATTCCTGGAGGGAGAAGAAAAAGAAAATGTTACAAACACTTAACTTATATAGGTACAAGATACATGGTTAAACTAAATAAATAAACAAATAAATAAATAAAACCACTATTAATAATATACAAATAACAATGGTCATCATAATAATTATTATTATTATTAATTAAAAAAAACGAAGAGGCAAAACCCATGCCTGTAAAACCCATGTAATTAAACTCACATAACTTAGAAATAAAATTTTAAAAAACTGCTTTATTCACCTCTTATAGGGCCAAATTAATTCCTGACGGCTAAAATCAACATATAAATAAACAGTAAAGACATTAAAAACCATCTTTCATAATCTAGAATATTTCTAAATGCAATATATCTTCTACATAATCTTATTTAATTGGTATTATTGATGTCTAAATTATAAATTGATCATTTATTTGTTCATTTTTAGGTCCTTTTGAAAAAAAAATCTAATAAATTAATCCTCACTGTGCCGGAAAGGTAGGAACTGAGAGCATAAAATAAAAAAATGAAAATGAACAGACACCTAAACCTGACAGAAACCCTCTGGCTGCTGCTCAGCCGTTCTGGACTCACCAGCCACCGTACGCGAACAGCCCGCTGTAGAGCGCCAGGCCCAGGCTGCCAAACTCATACTTGGACCCCTTGAAGGCATTTTCTGGGAGTAATCTGTCTGTATCACCTGGAGGAAAGAAAAAAAAGAACCAAAAACTTTATTCAGACCAGAAAAAGGCCCCAGTCTGAGA